AGGTATTAATTTCTAGACCAGCAGTTTGGATGCTGTTTGAATTACTATTTTCTTTGCCTTTCCCATGCAAGGAGTGTCATATGAATCTCTTGTAGCTAGCTGTACCTAACACTGATTTTTGTCAACTTCCTTTCTGGGCAGAAGCTTCAAATTAATTTGGAGAACTATAGAACTGCTTTACTTTGCTTATCATAATTTAACACTTTGAATTACCAGTTTCTGCTTTCCCATGAGAGGACAGTGCTAAGGCACATTCTTTCTTCCAGTGTATGAATATTAAATCTCTAAGTTCACTTTCAGCTAGTTCCTTACTGTTTATAAAAAGCAGTCTGAATTGCATTTAATTGCTGGCTCTAAGCCAAAAGATACACCTGAGATTGAGTAAACCCTGAATAAGGTATCTAACTAGCCTTTAGTAAGACTGTGTGCACTGACATACCTTGTTCCCTTTACCCATCTGGTACTGTTTTAGTACACCAGCTCTTTTATAAGCATTGAATTAGAATTCTGCATCCCAAACAGTGTCATACCAGTTTTACTTGGTTTTCTGTTCAAGCATTTATTTGTACCAGGACAGCGTATTAGGTCATTAACATTCTCCTTGTGCCAAAATTCTTTCTTTCCTGGTCTACCTTAGGTATCACATGCTCTGAGATCCACTGTGATACTTTGTGCCCCTGCAGTATCATGTGCCCCATTAACCCATACAGACGTGACTGGAATTGGCTTGCAGAATTTCAGAAAACAGTGACCTAACTCTCCTGCAGCTTTGTTTGCTGTTGGTTGGTCCTTTCAGTCAGGTTCCTGCCTTCCCCTGCACTTTCTAAACAAAGTCTGTGCTGTTTACCTGATTCAGAAGGTACAGCCCAGGATAAAACTCTGCTTTCTTGCTGAAGGCTTGGAAGACCTTCATCTTTCCATCTCACCCACCCGCTCAAGTTGCATGCTTGCTGCAAACAGCCCTTACAAATGACAAGTAATTTGTTCTCTGCTTTGAAAAAAACAACTTTACCTCCACTCAGTGAATAAGTTTCTGAGCTTACTTTTTTATTAAGTTGCCTTTCTTGCAAACACTTAGCAGAAATTTTCTGTTGCAAATTCTCTACAAGTTTAGAACTTATATGAGGAACCAGGATTTGTTCCTCCCACATCTCTTTAATGACAGTTGGCAGGCAGACCAGCCCACACACAACAACCCAATGGCAAAAAATTTCTTTGACCACTGTAGGACTTCGTGATCTGCAAATGAAAGATGGGGGAACCATCTGTCCCACTGTTTTGCTCTGTCTACAGTTTTTTTTACAGGCCCAGTTCATTCTCCCTGCCTTGTCTCTCTGAGAATCACAGGGAGTCATTCAGCTACCTTTTATTTTTAGAAATTGATACACAGTTTTCCATAAAGATAGAGACTTAGGAAGGCTTAACAAGATCTCTCTGGGGATTCTCACCTTACTACTGAGTTAAAGAAACTGTTTTGCAGTCCCCAGAGGCACAGTGCTGCTTATGTATATTTGGATGAGATAATCACTAGTAAGAAAATATTTCATTTACCTCTCAAGCTTGAGATCTGCAGTGATCTGGTGGTGTGCAACAGGAACCAATGCATGCCAGCTGCTGGCAAGTCTGGAGCTCGTGGACATCCAGGCCAGAGTCATTCTGCTGCTTGCTAGTGCATATTTGACTGTTCACATTTCTGAAAATTTTGTTTGGTGTTGCATCCCTCCACAGATGGATTGCTTAAAGAATTTTGTGAACTGTATTTAGAACAGCTTGCCTAAAAATCTGGGAGAGCATCAGCTGTTTCTCCAGCTCTCCAGTTCTGTATGCCTTTCTGAGCTATGTGACATGCAGCCTTTCTGGCCTCTCCTCTTAGAGCCTCTGCAGAACCTTACAAGTACTGCCTTTTTGCTGGTATTTTCCATATCTAACACTGTCCATATCATGCCAACAGCAGTTAGCTACTGATTTCCTTTATTTTCATTAAAGGGAACTGACTCAAGGGGAATCCACCTCTTTTCTCCCATACTAAGTTTTCCCCTGGTAGGCAGGCTTCAGGTGCTAACAGCTGTCTCTTTTCTGATCCATTAGAAACCAATCCAAAGTCACTGACATGAGCCATCCAGCTGTGGTTATAAATAGAGTACATGGTGTCAGTATCCTGAGGTATGCAAGATTCTGAAACTGGAGATACTTTTCCCTCTGTGTAGATCTCCAGACTGTCCCTGTGCCTTCCCTAGTTCATATAAGCCAAATTAGTGCCAGGAAACCATTTTCCACCATGGATTCATACCCTGTTCCTGATAAAGTTATTAATACAGATGCAGCCTTTAGGCTACTGTTCCCTGATCATCACTTCTACCATGGGATTGTTTTCCTGAATACTTAAAATAGTATATGTAATTGAAGTATTTTCTATCAGTATGTAACCTGAAAATATTTTCTTGAGATCATGGCTTCACTGGCTATTCCTTAAACAGCTGGGCCTCAAGTTGGAAAGACCTTAGCTCTATAGGAAGTCTACTAAACTTGTCAAAGGAATGAAATTTGAAGCTATAATAAAATATTGTCAGACATACCCTATCTGTAACAATGTCCTATCTCTTCTTTAGTTCCCTTAATTTCTTCTGAATAATGCTTTTCCAAAATGGCGTTGTCCTGAGAGAGCTTACCTTGACTACCTGCATGACAGAGATTATTTAGCCGAAGAGAAGCCTGTCTTCAAAAAATTTGTTTTTTTCAAACATCTTCACATCTGAAGGCACATAGTTAGGTTGGATAGGAATTACTGCAGGAGCAATATCTTGTCATATTGGTTGAAGGTTTCAGGTCTTACACACTTCTAACACCTCTAGGCCAACCTTCATCAGACTTTTTCATCCTGCTGTTGAAATGGCAGGCATTTCAAGCAGTGATTTTTGCATGGGTAATAGATGTCTTCAGCATGTCCTTTACCATACTGTGAAGTCTCTCCTTCTTTCCAGTTTATATAAGTGTAGGTCTGCCCCACTCTCCTAGTGAGATAGGATGAACTGGAGGGTACCCTTATTTTGAAAGGCTGGCCTCCTTATTTCATGGGGCACTGGAGTTTTGGATGGAGACCAAAAAACTCCATAAAAGTTTCTGCCAGTTCAGTTCAGTCAGTTCTTAACACTGCTGGTAACATGTAGCTGTTGTCTCTTGCATCTGGTGTAGCACAGATACATCCTTCCTCTGACCTTCTCTTGTGTCTGCAGTCATGGTCAGTGAGTCTGTCAGACCCAGCCATGTCTCCAAAACTGCATTACCTAAAGCTGGAATTGTTTTAAGTGTATCCTCCCTCCATCTCCTCCTGAAATGGCACTCTTAGTTCCATGTAGAAGCCTTAGGTCTGCCTTTAAGAAAGCCTTCCTAGTGCCTCTAGCTGGGTCTTCCTTTTATCATTTTTGCCTAGACCAAAAATCAAGGTAAAAGCCCTCCATCCATCTTCTCCAGCCCTGCTCTGATATCACACACTACAAGACCAGCTTTTAAGAAGCAGAACTATCATTGGAAACAGAAACAGGAGGGCCTGAGGAACTGCCAGCCTTTACACACAGTTGTCAGTTCTGCTGCATCTTCCTGGCTGGAATTTAGCAGAGCCCCCCCATCCAGGGGGTAACAGCAACAATTAACCCATTATCTCCTGACCAAACTTCTGTGGCTGTCAAAATAAATTACATAATTTGTACTCTTGCAGACCACTGTGCTATGGGTAAAGGAGTAGGGTAGTTAGGTATGTGAAGGATCTGCAGCTGTCCAGACAGAAGCCAGAAGATGTTAACTTTGCTCTTTTTTATCTCTGATAAATGAGGGTTTGCTAGGAGTATACGTGTATAGCATGTTTGGGGCTTTTCCTTTTTCCTTCCCACTAGCATTTTCAGGTGTCAGTGGACAATCAGTCTAGCTGCAAGTGGCTACCTTTCAGTCTGAACTGACTTCCAGAAAACCAGCAGCTGAGGCAGTCCAAAGAAAATAATGGACTGTCAGATCACCAGATTTCTTTGTGACTTTGTCACTCCCAGCTCAAGAATACTGTCTGGTACACTATGAACTAAGTTACTGTGGTTAGTGTAGTGAAGTTCCAAGTTGTTTCATTGTTGAAGATTGGTAGTGAGGGCTGGCTTTTTCAGTGGAGCTTTGTAAAGCCACTGGAAACATTAAATTTCACTAGTACCCATTTTGATGGAACTAGAGCCATTCCTTCAAATTTAAGTGTTGCAGTAATTCACACTGAAGTTGATGCCTGAATAAATCAGTGACTTTAAGCTGAGGGACAACTTTTTTTCAAGCTAGACATAAAAACCACACACATTTTTCATCCATGTTACCCTAACTCTAACCCTGATCCACTTACTTCTTTGTAAATGAATAACCTCTGATAAGCATTATGACAGTCTTCTAATGGTCTGCCTGTCTGAGATGAAAACACAGTGAGATACACCACCAGTCCCATCAGCAGAATCTGTAGGATTCCTTTGCATCTTGGTGGCCTCTGCAAGTATAGGTTTGTGGTAAGGTGAATACATCCTCAACCTTGAAATGGTAATGCTGTGATGTCAGCACTGGTTGGCTGTGTCATGTGCACAGACCTGCTGTTCTAAAACATTCAGAGATCAGGGACACATCTTTACAGATGATCTACATGCAGTCTATCATTTAATACCACTAAGTCTGTGCTGTGATATTGCCTGAAGTCTCTGGGGAACTGGAAATTGATTCCTCAAACTCTATGTCTCTGGAGGCTGATTTTGTCAGGAAATACTCAGAAGGCAGGGTGTATGGACTGCTAAGACCTGAGGCACCCAGCCTTCTCGGAAGGCATAGAAATCCCATTTATCTTGCAAAGATTATGAGGTAGGGTTGTTCATCTCCAATTTTCACCAAGCGCAGCATTCCTTTTCCAGCTAGTGGTGGGTCAACTCTGTGCAGGCCACATGAGTCTATCAGGTAAAGTGGTGCCAAACTCTGCTGCAGCATCCTGACACAGTCAAGCCTGACATTTATTGCACTCAAGTACTCACGCACGCACGACTTTTAGACTGACAACAGAACTTCACTTTTCCATTCCTCTGACTTAACTGGTTTGCTGGGTGACATCGCTTTGTTGACTAATTTTGCAATTGGATTTGCAATAGCAGCAATAATGGTTTGCTTCCATCACTTTGTGGCATATGCTTCTAAAAAGCCTTCATGCTACCAGTGGATGGATTCTGGTTACAGCTTGTACTTGGATTGTGTTTTCATCTGAATATTCAACAGAGGCAAAAGTTTGAGACACTACTACAGTAACCTTAATTCAAGGCATACTTCACAAGCCTGTCAATCCTTCAGCAGGTAACCAAATTATTTACATTCTTACATTTAGGAGATAACTTAAACAGACTTATAAATAGAACATAAAGTGCATGAAAAAATCTCAAAATGTCACTGCAGACCTAAAAGTTGCAATATAATTGAAAATCAAAGATAAAGTTCACAGAATTTCAGCCTTAAGTGAAGTGACTGCTAGTTCAGGGAACACTTAGTTCTTTGTGTTAAGTCATACTGATGAGTATTAATAGTTTTAGATTTCTGATTATCACTTTAAACAATTAGAGAGATTGTTAAGAGCACATATCAGAACTAGGCCTCCAAATATTAATGCATTTCATTAATTCATTCATCTACTCTAAATAAGTACTGCTGAGCTTCCATACAGGAAAAATATTTGGATCAGGTCATTCCTTTCCAGTTTAAAAAACACATATCTGAAATGCAGGCAATTTCATTAATGATATGGAAAGACAGAAGCACTGTCTAGGACATCTTCATCACCATTAGAGAATGCAGAAGGAAACGAGAAAGCATTCTATTTTTATTCAGAGCTACACTGTTAATCATCATGAAATCTACCTTTTTTTTGAAGGGCCCAGAACCTACAAGGGTTCATAATTTGGGCAGTGACTAGTAAACAGTAGAACTGTATTCCTGTAATCTGGCATGACAGATTACAACTTAAATGCACATACAGGCACAGTAAATATAAATATAGCTAATGAGGATTGAAAGCAATAACTAAATTCTTAAGTGTTGTAAGACTGTCTTAAGTCTTTACAGGTTACTGCTTAGTTCCTTTTATTTTCAAGGATGCCTCAGGTAATAGGGATGTCTCACTGCAAGAGCTTGAGGGCAAGTGATGTATTTTTGACTGTGTCATGCCTGCCACAACAGGGTTTATACCAGTGACTAGGATTGCCTTAAAGGCTAGAAAGAATACAGAAGTTTAAAATTCCAGGTGTTTCAAAAAACTGAAAGAAAACAACCTAACTCCTTACTACTACTGAAAAAGATGACAATAAAACATGCCTGAAAGTAAACATACTAACCAGTAGTGATCTGTAATCTTGCAGAAGAGTATATATTTGGGATATTCACACTATTGCTTTTGAGGTTTAGAATCTTCTAGTACTTGCTTGCATCCTTCCAACCACTTGGGTATGGTATTAGGGTGGCTGAAAAAGGGCTCTTTCCTGAGTTACCCACCCCAATATACATGAAACACTGTCCTGAACAAAACCATAGTTTGACTAAACAGCAGCAGCAGGAGATTTAAAAAAAAAAAAAAAAAGTCCTAAAATCCAAGATAGCAGATGGTAAATCTCAAATTGCAGGCTTTAAGTAACAAGTATGTGCCTTGAAAGGAAAAGAAGCTTGCACCTAAAATTATACTGTGCTGTTTGCTTTCAGAGCAAAAGGACATTTTTGGACTTTTTTGTTTGTTATTAAGAGACACTTTTTTTCTTTGCACTTCATCTAATGACAGTTTCGTTCTTAAGATGCTATTAAAGGGCACTTTATATTTGGCAATCTGGATAGCAGCGATGAGGACATGGCATTATTCCTTCATTTTGCCTGAATGTTTTAACTTTTGAACTGTTTTTAAGCTTTTAATAGTGCTTACAAAGTAAGGGGGGAGGGGAGAGAATACATATACTTTAATCAGGTTTGGTTTAGACCACATAGAATAACATAGAAAAAAAAGGCAATTACTTAAAAATAGTTGTATTTATATTTCACAATCTCCTCAAATACTGTTTGTTTGTTGGGTTTTTTGGTTTTGTTTTTTTTTATAAACTTTCTACAGGATGTTTTAAAACAAGTTCTTCACATTGCTTCAACTATGCATTTATGGAACTCGAGGGAAATAGTTCTGGTTGTTTTTACAGTTTAACACATATACAGTACCAAAAGGATGGTGGTTAGTCACATGCAGTCCATATGAGATTCTAACATAACATTTAGTGAATTTTCTGATGTTGACCACCCCTTTGATGCTGAAGGTAATGCATCTGTGGAAAGCAAGGACTGTAGATTTGGGTTACTGCTCTCTGCATCTTCCAGTTTTTCAGTGTTGTCCTCCCAATTAATGTGGAATCTCGTGACTCTGGGATTAGATGCCAAAATATTCCTTTGAAGCTGGGAAAGAAGAAAATATATGGATTGTAATATGTACTTCTCAAACTGGAGTTCATATGCATATAGATTTTTTCCTTTTAGTCCCTATAACCTTGTTTGCCTAAAACAATTCGTTTAAAAAGGGAATTAACATCAATGTGAATCTACAGCTACTACCTGTGGATCAGGAATGTGCTTACAGTACACTTTCTCATTTTCCCTAATACCCTGCTCAGCAAAACAACCACTTTCTCAAGAGAACATTTTAACTGTTCCACAAGGTCAAGGCTGCGAAAGAGATCCACAAGTAAAGTGCAAGTGTTTATTATTTTATCCAGCTTTTAGTAAAGCAAATAACTTCTACCCGCACAAGGATTTTGCAAACCACAGTACTTAGGCAAATTTTGCATCAACTTTATGGTATTTGCAATACCTATCAATTCCATCAACTTCTCATCTTCATTTACAATTACAACCTTATCCTTAAACTGCCAAACTTTGGACTGATTTCACTCAGAGGATTTATCTTCTAATGTTTTAGTGGACATGATTAGTCATCTACATTATTCTCATGGCTGGCCTTCATTTTCGTTTGAAAACATGTTGCATTTATGTATTAAAAAACAAAAACAAACCAAAAAACTTCCTGATTTTATTGTGAAAAAGGGTGAAAGATTATGTATAGTTACCTGGAGGATGGCAACTTAGTGCCAGTGGATACTCACTATGACAGTTAAGACTGATCACAGGAAAGGTTTGCTTTGGCAATTTTATTTTCCAAGAAAGTGTACTCTCATTAAATATTTCCTGACCCCTTTTGCAAACTAAAAAAGCCATTTATTTTTTAGAACCTAGTAGAGCTTATTACCCAATAATCAATCAATCAATCACACTAATAACCTTCTACTTTTGCATTTCCATTTTGTCCCCAACTCACATCAAGGACTCTGTATACAAATATATGATAGCTTTTGCTGTTCTTTTCCATAGCAGCAAAGCTAGCTTTTTATATATAAACAAAGAATGAAGACAAGTAGTTCTAGGTTTTCTAAATTCAAGTGCTTAAAGGGAGTCACCATTTTGGCATTGACAACCAACATAACAAATAAGTTATGTTTTAAATTAAAGAAATAAAGAAAAAAGATTAAATTCTTAAAGTTTGGGTATGATCCTCACTCAAACTTCACTATTACTTTCAGAACATACTTAGTGTTTGATCACTGAAAATTAAGCATAGAAAAACATAATATTTCACTTAATCTTTCAATTCTAGTCCTGGTTTGTTACCATGAGGGATATATGTTTTTATAACTTTATACTTCCTTTGTCAAATTAGACATTTATCAAATTACCATCCAACCAGGCTACCCATGTTCTCTCATTTTACACCTCATTTGTTCCTCAGTTTGTTTGTTAAAGTTTTGCAGAAACTGTAGCTCTGACACTAGAAGCTGAGTAACAACTGTAGTAAATTAGTATCTACAACTTAGTTCCAGATTGATGGGCCTAGAAAAAATATTATTCTGTTTTTCTGTAGAACAGAGCCGCTTTGTAAACAGTGGTGCAGGTAGAAATAAATCCAATGGTTTATTTCACAGTCAGTGTGAAAGTACAGCCAAGTCTTAAAGATGGTGGAAATTTCTGATGGTTTCTCAGTATTACCTGAATTTATGACAACTACATAGCACTTGTAGTTTGTCCCCCCAAGTATTTTCCATTATTTGATGCCTCATCCCATGCACTTTATGAAATCACTTGGGGTTTGGGTTTGTTTCTTAGAAACCTCTTTCTATAAACATACCTCTGATACATGACTAAAACAAAACATGCCTTACCTTAGAAAAATCTGGCTTTACTGGTGGATTCTCTCTCAGTTCTGTTTCAGTATATTCATTGTTTACATAGTAGCCGACTCTAATAAATTCTTGACCTCGGTAAGTGCATGTAATTAGCACAACAGTTACACCTACTGCATCTGCATCTGGAATAAGCCCTGGGTTAGGTGCATCAGCCTAAATGTGAAAGGGAAAGATAAATTAAAATTGATAGCACATGTCTACCTAGCAGGGCAATCTCAAGTAGTGTGTTTCAGCAGCTAAGAAGTGACTATATTTAAAATTGTTCAAGTTAACCAGAAAATATACTGCTTTCACAACATCTGCCCTAGATTTAGAACACCATCCTCTAACAACAAAATTGGAATACAGTAAAATTGTTTGGTGACATTTCTCACAGGTGATTGGCCAGGTTTGATCCAAAACTCTTTAAATATATGATCAGCTGAACCATTGTTCAGACAGGAATACCAACATCACTCCAGTTCTACAGTGCCACGGTTCTCCAGCCCATCTTGGTAATTTAGTACAGCAAGCTTATTTTCTCACACACCCTTCTCAAGGTTTAATTGGTCTGTATGTGTGCTCTTAACAAGATCAACAATCCTTAAAACTACAGTTTGCAAATTATACTTCAGCAAGAAAAGGGATTAGCTATGGTACGGTTTGTGCAGTTCCAGATTTCTAGGGAAGAAACAAAATAATTTCTAATTTCTCTGGTTTCATTCTTAATACCTATGTTTGTTAAAATTTATGCAGTTAAATGCATCACCTCTCCAAGACACCTGAACATTTTCAGTCACTATGCAAACCTAATTAATAAGCAACTGATACAATCTTCCTCTGTCCTTACATACCATGGCTCTGCAGTTACTTATCAATAAAATCTGCCTCATAAAATGTGGCTCACATCAGTCCCTTAAAATGCCTCCTAACTACCACATCTGTTGATAAAATGTGATGCCTGATTCTGCTGCAGGATTTAAAGTAACAGCAATCCAGGCACAGTAAAACAGCTTCATATTTACAAGTCCACAGGAAGATCTGAAGTCAACAGTGAACACCCATGTTGTGAGAACCAGTTGTTATTAATAATGTATGTTCAGATAGTTTGGGTGTAACAAACCTTCCCTAATGACAGATGATGAATGGAATTAATTCCTGTTGTCCCTCTCATCTCTGCTTTTCTGTAGTACTTATATGCTCCAGCCTGGTGAAATTTGGGAGCTGCTGCTCATGCAGCATTGGCTTCTACTCTTTGCCACTTCAATTCTAAGCCTTCAAACCACTCTACTGTCGGAACTTTGCAGAAGAATTAGATGAGTCAGACCTCTCAGGTAGAAATACACCACAGGGAGGAGAAGAAAACAGGAATCAGGTAGAACTCATGTTCCTCCAGCCCTGAAGGAAGTAGAAAATGGCTGAATGGCTTTACAACTAGCATAGGGGAACAGAAAAGATGGCCAAGGAACAGAAAAAATGCAGAAGCTTGAAGAAATCACAAGTACTGCCATACAGATTAAATCATTAATTCAGTAGTCTTGTTCTAACAGTGCCCAGAACTATCTGATCACTTTAAATTCCACAGTAATGGGCAACAGAAATACTATGTTCCATTTAACTCCTCATTAAACTCAACTCACATTCTAATATAGGATCATAGTTTTTTCCAGGTTCCCACTGTCATTTTTTGTCTTGTAATAACCTATAACACAGTTCTGAACCCAAATAAATACTCTGTTCTAATCTTACTTCTCTTTCAAGCATTGTTTTGCTGCATGAAAGACACTGAGGACTGTTTAAAAGAGTTTTCTCAAATTTTCAACTTCCTGTTTTTTTAAGCCTCTTGATTACTCAGGAGCCAAAGATCATATACAGGTGGAAGGAAAAAAAAAGAGCTTGGAATGACCAAATGATAAATAAGCAGATTATCTGCAAACAGTTATTTTGCTGGGCAGAGGCAGCAGATTAGTTTTTGCATAAACAATCACTGTCTTAATGTGTCATTCTTATGCTATAAATTACTTATATTACTTTATTACTTATATTACGTTATGAAATCAGCCCATATATATGTTACCTTGAATTATCTTGCTTTTCTGCATGATATTTATTCACCTAGCTATTAACTGCAGAATAGGTAGCAAAAGTTATATGCCCACTTAAGGATAATAAATTATTCATGTGCTTATATGCTCAAAAAGAAGTTTCTGTGATTTTATTACAAATTCCTAAGAGAATTGAGAAGGAGTCAGGTTTCGCTACATGTATCTTGGCATTTAGAAACAAATAGGCCAAGCTGTGGGCCTCTACTATTGAAACTCTTTTAAAGGTAATGTTTTGGGGTTTTAAAACAAAAAGCTGCCTTTGTATGTCTCAAAAGCACAGTAAATGCCCATCTTTCTATAAGGCTGAATTCCCAACCTGATACACATCTTTTTTTCATCTAAGGTGTTTTTATCATCCTTGGTAATCTATCTGTGTGGTACTCCATTTTAGTTACTATTTCAGCCATTTTCTCATCTAGAAAAATCTACAGCAGATTATCTGAAAATTTTATACTCCTCTGCAAAGGTCCTTTCCTTATGCTACTCCCCATGAACACAATCTCTTTTCTTTGTATCACATGCCTCCTGCAGCTCTATGCTTTGCCCCATTCTTGCCTTCCCTTGCTTGTTTTCTCCGTATCCCAGGCTGCTTCAGCTTGGTGAATAGAATTGCTTCAGTCATCAGCAAAGGCTTCTTGCAGCGCTTCGGGTTTTGGTGGTCTCCTGCGTACACATGAGCTCAGTCCTACCCTCACCTGAAATCCAGAGCCTTTGAAATGTAATATACTCAGACCCAACCGTACATCCATAAGAAATATAAAAGATATTTTAACAGAAGGAATCTCTTACAGGACCTACACCAATCTAAGCAAAATCTCTACACATCTCCTCCTAATTTAGCTGTAGTGTCATTTATAACCGGGACACAAGTGCTGAGTCCATTCTACAGAAACTGCACGACCAGTAAATTTAATTTGAGACCTGCCCAATCATACAGACAAAATATGCCTCTTTCAGGCACCTACTTCTTATGCCTTCCTATCACCATCAACAAGGAATCTTTTAAATTAGAAATGTAAATGAAAAAACAGCTGATTTTCCCATGTACAAATGCAAGGTAGCCCCTTTGAGAGCAATAGAGGATCACCTGTTTCTGGCCAATTAATGCCATAACTGCTTGATAATGGAATAACTGTTAATAAATGATGCATTTGTTACAAATCTGCTTTATTTGTAGCAAGGAAAAATTTGGCCTGGCTCCAAAACCAAACGGAAATGTTTCAGCCCTGATTTACATGCATGTGGTTGATAAATGTTGCAACTTCCAGTCTAATCCTATTCTTTAAGCCTGTCCTGTAAGGAAAAAAACAAAACAAAAAAGCCCAGAATAAACAAACAAACACCCCCAAAATGCTAAATAAACTACCTTTCCTGAAACTTAATCAGGATTAATCAGGATGCCTCACAAATGCTGATATTATTTTAAACCAGTTACAGTAACCATGAGAAATAAGGGAGTGCATTCATTAGCACTTTGAGGATTTTTAATGCTCATACTTCAGCATGTGTTTGTCATTAGTTAAGTGAATTTATAGTATTTGAGAAAATAGCAGAGTTCTTATACAATAAGACATACTCTGTTCCTATCTGATTTTTCATCCAATCAATTTTGTTGTCAGTTTACAAGACAAATTCTAGTATTTAATAGTGAAAAATGTGTTAGTTTTAGTAAAAATTATAGTTTTGAATAAAAAAAAATGAACAAAAAAACTTCACCACCACTAAGTAAATTATCCCAAACAAAAGAAAGCTTCTGTAAGAATTCAGGCAAGTCCACTTCAAGTTTTCCCCCCTTTCCTCTCACTGAGTTAAAACAGAAAGAAGACTAGGCCAGTAAGCCATCTTAGTGTTGTTCTTTTCCTGTTTTCTTTTCCTTCGTTATTCCTTATTAACTTTTGGCTTTAATCAGCAGTATTTTATAGGACTGTCACATGCTCTAGACTTTTTTGCACAGTCTTGATCTACACCCTTGTGTCCTAAATACCTCCCATTTACCACTGAATTTCTATCTTTTATTTTAGAAATCGCTGTATTTTGTTATGATTTAGCATGCTTAGCCAAACATCACAGTTGAACATGCGTTCTGCCAAACAGAAACTTCTTGACTGTTCTGGCTGAGTTTTACAATTTGTTTGTCATCCTGATCATCTGAAGGTGTTGTCTACATTAACCTAGTTCTCTTAATTGTCTGAAATTGCCACCAGCAGCAGAAGAGGTAAGCCTGATGGTGCTGGTGTAAACCAGGCATATGGCACTGCTGATTATGAACCAGACTGGTTAAAATTATCAGTAGCTATGGGAACTGTGCTTTTATCAGTTATTATTGATACCACAAAAAATATAACCAAGAAATATCAGGGGTAGGAAGTACAAGCTCAAGAACAGTGCAATAATTTTTTTTTACCATTATTTTTCAAGTACCTCTTAGTTTGATGCAGTTATCCCTAAACAAATTAGGGATATTATAATTTACAATTATAAAACTCTTTTAGAAACAGTTAAATCAAACTTACCTGAAATACAAACATGTGTCTGCCTGCAGGAACAGGTCCAACTAAAACAGAGTCTAACACCTGATCATACTCTTCACTTTCAGCTGAACCCACATAAATTATTTTCCATTCCAAATCTACATAAAAAAAAAGAAAGAAAGAAAAACAAACATTATCATTGGAGTTAGGGATCTTCCACTCTTGCCAATCTACAGTTTTGCACAGCCTAAAATTACTTCTTTGGCAACAAGCCTAAAACAACAAGGACCTGTCTTAGAGAAATTTACAGATGCCTGACCCTGACCTCATGAACCACATCATTTCACTTTCTAGCCAGTTGTACCATAGGAATCCCTCTATTTTCAAAGTGAGGTTAATTTTCAAATTTTATACAGAGAACAAGGCCCTTTTACTAATTGGGACCCATACTGAGCATCTTCTCAAAGTCTGTCAGAATGGGTGCAGCAGAGGGATGATGCCTATGAATAATCACATCCTTGAATACCAACTAACCTCCCAAAACCAAAATTCCCACCTTCTACATAGACACCTCACAGCTTAAATTACACACAGATTGTGGACAGTAGCTAGTTGAGTAAGAAAGCCACTGGGTAAGCAAGCTCCAGGCACACTAACTGTATGCCCTCATTCCTTCACGTTGGAGTCTGGAATACAGAGTGTGCGCCCTTGTTTCTGATACTTAGTTTTAAGATCCAGAAAAACACTGAATTTCATATAATGTGAATGATTTTGAAGGATTATGAATGATTCTTTGAATCATAAGAACTGAGATAAGCAGGGCTCCCCATGAGGGAGGATCCCTAAAGAATTCAGTCTAAAGGAGGCTGAGAAATCCAAGAATAAAAAGGATAAAAATACAGAAGAGATGCAGCAGAAACAGAGAAACAGAAAAATAATTTTTCAGAGAAAAGTTACACTTCATGTGTCACTTGTGTTATCCAGAAGTACATAAAATTGTGATAGCATGACCAGACCATATTCTTCAAGATAGTGATGCTTGGATCTTACCTACATCATGAAATGGAATTATAGGAAAAAACCCAAAAACAACAGTGTAGCACTTTGCTTCTTAAAGCCAAGCACTAAACCCCAACATTTATTACAATTCAGTTTTTTTCTAATTCAGCCTCTCCCCCACAGATGTTTTCAAGTAGAAATTGCAAATTAGCTCTTCCTGGGTCAGCTTTTCACCTTCCCTTTTAGATTCAAAAGCAGTATTACTCACATCTGAAACTAACCTTGCAAGACAGATTTTGGGGTTTTTAAATTGAGGGAAAAAAATACCACCATTACAAAAAAACTATAACTAACACTTCTTTTCTTAATTAAGCTGTTGTTTCAGAACTACACCTTAAAAACTTACATGGTATATTTCTTTTTTTTTCCCCTTGTGAGCAATGCACTGATTGCCTTTGCAAAAGCACAAACCTGTAAGCTATTACATTAACTTGATTAGTACACTCGGCAAAATCCAAAGGTCTGCCTCATGGTTTCTAGATGCAGAAATGGAATTTAAACACAGAAAAAAAAAATTAGCACTTGAACAGAATTTGACGGCTTTAAGACTGCAACTCTCTTTCCTCATTAGTGAAATCTTCTTGCTTATTTTGTTTACCATCAGTGCAGGTTTTGCAGGTTTAACTATCATAATAAACAGGGCTTGGGAAGGGATTTTACTCCTCTGTAAAACACAGTGCAGTTTCCCAGGTACTCTATCAGAGGTTTTATTTACTTTTTAAGCTTGAAGTACTAGCTGTTGCCAGTATTGCAGGGTACTCATCCAGGATAGTTAAGGAACTTTCTTTTCTGCAGCTGAGGACAAATCACTACTTACAAGAAGTGAGGCCTTTTAGGCTAAACTGCTTAAGACTAACATACTATTCTGTGCCATTATTCTAGGAGAAAAGTATAAAACCTATTCTAAACAACTCATATTTAGTACTAAAACTAGACTTTTTAAAAATAGATTTTAAATATTATTTAAGTACATTGATATAGACCAACAACTTTGAGAGCTGGAGTTCATGGATTTAATTTTAGGATCAGCGTTGCATAGAATGGGCTGAAAACAGCACAGTAAACAGATATATTAGCACAGAAAAGCTAAGGCAATGACTTTTCATCAAGTATACAATGGCTGTGTTTAATCTTATTTTTAAATGCGTAAGATAGCAGCAACTATCCCTAATATATCCTATAGTCTACCTTGCATGTTCGTAGGGGAAAGGAGCTGAGAATTCTGCACTGGACCATCTATAATTCTTCTTATCACGACTGTCCAGGATTAACTTTAACATAAATTCTGAGTGTGAGAATCACATCATATACAGCTGTACACAACTGGAAGGAAAAGCCTAATATCTTGCACGGAGCCCCTGTGATTGGCACTGCCACCTGCCATAGCAGTTGCCACGGAGGGGGTCCGATGCTGCACCTCGGATGGAGCCAGGCTGACCGGAGAGATCCAGCCAGCAACGTGGCGACGGGCAAGGAGCACAGCTCCAGCTACTGCAGGAGCAGGAGACAGGCGGCGGAGGCCTAGAGGAAACCCTGGCTCAGGCGAGACTTCCTCTGAAGTTCCCGCCACGGCGGCCGTCCCTCCCTTCCTCCCTCCCGCGCTGTCACCATCCCGCCGGCACGCACGAGTACGCGCTGCTGCAGAGGCAGGCGGGGTGAAGCGAGTTAAACCGCAGCGATAGCGAGCCTGCCAGGGCACCTTAGCCAGGACAGCACGCAACTCCCCTTCTCCCTCCGCCCGCGGGGCTCTCTGGCGACCAGGCGGCGCTGGGCTCCGCCGACTGCCGGACAGGCAGTGTCCTCTCCCGCTCACAGGCGGGCGGCCTCCTGCTGCTCCCGGGGCAGCAGCGGCTCCCCGGCCCGCCGGCGGGCTGGAGTGCCCCGCATTCCCTCCCTCGCCCCGAGCCGTTCGAAACTCCCGCCCGCGGGGCGACGCGCGGCCTCTCGGGGCGCGTCCCGCGGCCGGCCGGGGGGCGGCGCTGC